TTTCACAGGGGGGTAAGTTACACTTTAAAAAAGAAGTTACAGGTCTGTGACAGCCAGAAATCTTGCTTTTGTTATTGACCAAATACTTACAGTATTTTCCACCATTATTTGCAAAAAAATTCTTTAAAAGTCAGACAAAATGATTTTCTCAAATTTTTTTTCACATTTTGTCTCTCATAGTTGAGGTCTACCTATGATGTCAATTACAGGCCTCTCATCTTTTTAAGTGGGAGAACTTGCACAATTGGTGACTGACTAAATACTTATTTTCCCCACTGTAACTGTTGCAGTACAAATTACAAACATGTACTGTTGTGAGCATTGTTTAAGTATTCTGTGAGGTGTTTGGTGGTATTTGTACTGCAGAGTTTCAGCTTTGTAACATTGCTACCAGGAAGTAACTGATAGTTTTGCTCACTGAGTGTAAGGTGTACTACAAGGGTTTTTAAACAGAAATAACTGAAGATTTCTTATAACTGCCTCGTTACCTGTGTACTTCACCAGTGTCCGGCCTGTAGAAATCTCCCAGAGTTTCACCACAGAGTCTTTTCCACTGGACAAAATGTACTTGGAGTTCTTGGAGAAGATAGCGGAGCAGACCTCTGCTCCATCGTGTGCCTTCTCGAATGTGGACACACAGCGGTTGGAGACACCGTCCCACAGTTTGATGCTCCCGTCCTTGCTGCAGCTGACGTAGCTGTTAGCAGATGGGTTGTAGCTGACGCTGCTGATGGTGTCGGTGTGTTGATCCATCGGGTTGCAGGACACAAAGCACTGGAAGGTATTGGTGTCGTAGAGACGTAGGGTGGGGTGCTGTGTTCCCACCAGCAAAAAATCACCAGAGGGGTGGAAGGAGATCGAACGCAGCATTTCTGCTTCCTGCAGGAAAACACATGTAGACAGGATAAAAAATAAATAAATAGCTCAGCCAAGACTCACACATTCAAATCTCACACATCATCAGGATTTCAAACAGCTTTCTGTTTAGGCTTCCCTGGTGGTAATTCAGCTGGATCAGTGGCTCCACAACAGGCACGGTTAATCTCAGACACAAACATCACACTTCTGACAAGTTTTATGTTTGCAACATTAACTCAGTTTTTCATTCTGATAAGGGAGTTTAAAACTGTAGATCTAAAAACCTGCAGGGRCTATGTTCTTAGATCACCTGTGAATTCTGAAAAACTGCAAACTTTAGATGTGGTCAAAAGAWGAATCACTCGAGTATATTAACACATACAAGGAATTTGTGCTAAACAAACATTTAAATTACAATTTAAATAAATTGCCAGGAATGATAAACAGGTTGGGTGAAAGTCCTGTGCTCTGCCAGTCAGAGCTGGGAGGAACRCACCACCCATCAGGATGAGTGAAGTGAACTCAGGGGGGTAACAGTAGGGATGGGTAWCTTTGACATTTGAATCAATTTGGTACCAATATCCGGTACCTGGGAATCTGTACCGGTACTCAACGGTACCAATTTTCTTTGTGTGTGTTGTTTTTAATAAATAACCTTTTTAAAACATATTTCTCAATATACTGTATAAAATTTAACAAATATCAAGACAACATCCAACTCTTTGTATTGTAACATCAGTTGTGTAACTTATTTCTTTAAGGTGAAAACTCTTGAAAACAAGACTGTTTTGTCTTATTACACAAATTAAAATCCAGCTCCATGTATTTCTATTGATGTCATTTCCCTGCTAGAAACATTGGGCCTCATGCAAGAAC